TTTCTGGCAGATCTTCTAATATCACAGTGTGTAATACCGAATTACAGAAGTGATGAAAAGAAAAAGACTCTAAATGAATTTGGTTACATAAAAAAAAAAAAAAGTCTAAAATTCCCAGCACCTCTTTGTCATGGGCCTGTATAATGCTGCCAACATAACAAATTTAGTCTGATGAACTCCTGAAGAAAAAAAATGGATCACAAGTAAACTTTTCCGACACTGTCATACAACTTCCTGTGTGTGTGTGTGTGTATAAGAATTAATGGATTTGATATTTTAATCCAGGGAACACTGGTTCGAATACCAATGGAGAGCACATTTTCTTTAATAAGTTTTGAGGGTGCAGGCAGGCCAGTAATAAATAAATAATACTGTCTAATTACATTTTATAGGGGAAAGCAACTGCATTTGAAATTAGTTTCTTGATAAACAGTAATTGTGTGTGAATGAGAGAAGATGGAGGAGCATAAGCAAAGAATATCCATAGACACTATGTAGAATTACTGCTTAGAAAACCCAACAATAAAGCCAGTAAATTTCTGGGTGGCAAGATGAATTCTTATGAAGCATTGTTTTGGGAATCATTATAAGAGAAAAAGAAGTAATAAATCTTCAGCATTCCTTCTGACATTTATAGCCAAAGCAAGCATTTCACTTGTGTTCAACACAACTTAATAATCACATTGAACTGGACATATTTTAAAATTAAAAAAACTACTGGTTCCATTTATATAGAAGAATTAAGACTTTTACCTACAAATTTTTTTTTCTTGATAAATTTTATATTGTGGCTCAGCAACAAGAGAAATAAAAATGTTCATCCCTAAATATTTAAACATTTTTGTCCCTCTTTTCAATATATATATATATATATATATATATATATATATATATATATATATATATACAGATTTAATAGGACTGTCAATGAAATTTGAGGAATAAAAAGACAATAAAATGTAATATTGGCTACAAGATTGATTATATACATTTGAACAATGACTCAATACCACAGAACATAAATACAGTTTTGAAAATACATGAAGGCATTTTTACCTTAAGAAATCCTTTCAGTCAACATTTCGATAGAAGGAAAATGTTAGTGTAATTTTTGACAAGAGCAAAGAAATGAGCAATTCGTACAATAAAAAAAAAGATGGCAGTAAGTAGAGAAAATTTTAGAACATAATTAAAAGAGATTTATTGGTAAAACAATTTATGAATAAAATATATAATTCCAAGTGAATATGAAATGGAAAAATACTACTCACAAGCCTCTAAAAGATTGAGGGAGTGGAGGAATTTTTTCCATTTCATACTCACTTGGAATTATATTTTATTGATAAATTATTTTGGCAATAAATCTATTTTAATTGTGTTCCAAAATTTTCCATCACTTCTATTTTTCATTTTTCTTTTTACCCATTTTGTGAATTGTTCATTACTTTGTTCTCGTCAAAAATTACACCAACATTTTCCTTTTGACGAAATATTGGCTGAAAGGATTCATTAAGGTAAAAATGTGTGTGTGTGTGTGTGTGTGTGAGTGAGAGAGAGAGAGAGAGAGAGAGACTGATTGTTTTTTGGGGTTTTTTTTTGTGGTTTATCAACCTTTATGAGATTATTTGAAGACAAAATATTTTGGGATTGTAAGAAATTTTTTGGCAATATTTTCTAATACAAGTCTTACTATTCAACCTATAGCTCAGGGGAGAGAATATATATTTGGGGTGTAGGGAGAAAAAGTGTAACAAGTTTTCATGTGATATTTTGTCCTTTAGGATTTCACTGAACTTTTGATGCAACTACATGTCACACAAAATCTTTTACACTTTGTCATAATTCTTTCCTCCCAAATCATTTTTGATATATGAAAAAGTTTATATATGATTATCCCATATATGTGTGTGTGTGTGTGTGTGTGTGAATATAATGAACTTGAAATTCGTCTCTCCAATTTTCCATTCCTAGCCATTTTCAATCACACTACCCGAAGATCCAAGCTGTTATGCCCAAATGATCACCTATCTAAGTGCTGACTTTGGTTATAAGATGAGAACCGCTGTTTCAGCGTGATATGGTCATAACGTGATGGTGAGATGAACAAACAGAATATTTGGTACTGCTCACTGAATAATATGCATTGGATGGACCTTTTCAAACAGCAAGGAATGCATGGATTGTGCTGTTGCAAGGAAAGCTAAGGTATTGAGACCTTTCTTCTTTGATGGTGACATAACTAGAGAGACTTACCTCACCATGTTGCCAGGCCAATAAATGGCCTGAAATTGAAAGCTTAGGTGAAGGCCTCAGAGTTCTTTGAGTGTGACAGAGCTGTTGCCCATTACACTGATGGTAAGAGAATAGCTAAATGACAATTTCCTTAACTGGATTAGAAGATGTAGCTGTGTGAAATGAGCTCCTAGCTCACCAGATATTTTTTTGGAGGTGAAGGAGAAGGTGTAGAGGTGCATTCAGAATTTATGGTGCCCCTGTATATAATGACAAACATAGATCACATCACACTATTTACTACATAAACAAAATTTACTTGTACACAAATATTCATATAAAAATCTAAGAGCAATTATTATTTTATTTTTTTTTGCAGAATAGTTATATATATATATATATATATATATATATGATGAAGCAAAATAATTTTAACATATAAAGTGTAATGATATTAAAAATGCTGCATATGATTCCCTAAAAAGTACAAAGTCATGAACTGTTCACATTTTACGAGTTTCTATAAAATGATGGATTCACCGAGTAGGAATTTTAGCAGTGTAACTCAAGGCTTATGTTTATGTTGTTTGTTTGTGGGTTTTTTTTTGGTTTTTTTCTTAAAAATATCTACAAAATACATGTTTTCTATTTATGCAACTTCATTTGAAAGCGAGTTTGATTTATAAAGATATATATTTTATTTTTTAATGTCAATTTTTTTTGTGTTTTTTTTTTTTTTTCACTTGGTGTGGTGGTAGTGATTAGACAAGCCTTGAGTTACAAACAAACAAACCACAAACAAACATACAAAAAAAAACAAAAACACAAACATACAAAAAAAAACAAAAACACAAACATACAAAAAAAAACAAAAACACAAACATACAAAAAAAAACAAAAACACAAACATACAAAAAAAAACAAAAACACAAACATACAAAAAAAAACAAAAACACAAACATACAAAAAAAAACAAAAACACAAACATAAAAAAAAAACACAAACATATAAAAAAAAAAAAAAAAACAAACAAACAAAAAAAAAAAAAAAAAATACAAAAAAACAAAAAAACAAAAAGACATACAAAAAAAACAAACAGACATACAAAAAAAAAAACATCCAAAAAAAAAAAACATATAAAAAAAAAAAAAAAAACACAAACATAAAAAAAAAAAAAAAACATAAACATACAAATATAAAAAAATAAAAATAAAAAAAAAAAAACAAACACATAAAAAAAAAAAAAAAAAAAACATACAAAAAAATACAAAATATAAGCAAAAAAAAAACAAACACAAAAAAAAAAAAATACAAAAAACATACAAAAACACACAAACATACAAAATATAAAAAAACAAACATACAAAAAAAAAACACACAAACATAAAAAAAACACACAAACATAAAAAAAACACAAAAACATACAAAAAACAAACATACAAAAAACACAAAAAACACAAAAACATACAAAAAACACAAAAAACATACAAAATATAAAAAACACACAAACATACAAAAAACACACAAACATACAAAAAACACACAAACATACAAAAAACACACAAACATACAAAAAACACACAAACATACAAAAAACACACAAACATACAAAAAACACACAAACATACAAAAAAAAAACACAAACATACAAAAAAAAACACAAACATACAAAAAAAAAACACAAACATACAAAAAAAAACAAACATACAAAAAAAAAAAACATACAAAAAAAAAAACAAAAAAAAAACAAACATAAAAAAAAAAAAAATACAAAAAAAAACAAAAACAAAAAAAAAACAAACATACAAAAAAAAAACAAACATACAAAAAAACACAAACATACAAAAAAAACACAAACATACAAAAAAAACACAAACATACAAAAAAACAAACATACAAAAAAAACACAAACATACAAAAAAAACACAAACAAACATACAAAAAAAACACAAACATACAAAAAAAACACAAACAAACATACAAAAAAAACACAAACATACAAAAAAAAAAAAACAAACAAACAAAAAAAAAAAACAACACAAACATACAAAAAAAACACAAACAAACATACAAAAAAAAACACAAACATACAAAAAAACACAAACATACAAAAAAAACAAACAAATAAACCACAAACAAACAAAAAAACCACAAACATTTAATTAAAATCTCTCTCACATTACAAGATGAGCTATAACCATAATCTTTTCTTTTTAAACAAACAGCTATCCAAATGCTATATCAGTGTGTAAATATCTACAAATATCAATTACTTTAATATTCAAGTCCATAGCCTTTAAATTTTGTGCTTTTGCCAGAGAAAAAGCTTGCCTTGCAGACATTTTGCAATAATAGTTTGATCTTTATTAGACAGTCCAACTCCCAATGTGGCTTTGTGCCAGGCGAGCTTAGATTGAGGCTGGCATATTTGAAGACAGATACCTACTAAGTAACTTAGTAAGTTATATTTTCATTGCATTTTAGCTTGTGCATAAGCAATCACATTTTTTAAACTTTTGTTCTTGATTGCAATTTAACTACAATATTTACAAAGTTAAGCAATTTACCCTTTTAATTCCTCCCATTTGAAAAGTATTTTAAATTATTTTTACACAATCTAACTTTTCAAATTGCAATAAGATTACATTACATTAAAACAGATACAAAAAAAAAAATTAAGACAATTGATGCATTTGTATTAACTCAGGATATATCTTTTGAGTATGCAGTGGAACAAGAAGGGAAAAGAAAGAAAAAGAGGTACTTACCTGGTTGCCCTAATATATTGGAAAATCGGAGGTCTTGACTAACAATTGGGTACAGATCCATCCATAGAGACATTGAGTTGAGTTTTCCCTGATTATGTAACTCATCAAGAAGAACCTAATAAAAGGAAACATTTTTATATTTGTCAGCAAAAGACAGCAAAGCAGATAAAATACAACAGTTTGTTTTTATTGTTTCCAAATTGAAGAGAAAATCCAGAGATCAAGAGCTTTTGAAGGAGACTGATGCCAAATAATGTTCTTATATACTTCAATATTTTAATACATAGTTGAGAACATAAAAATTAATGTTACTGCCATTGTTAATCTAATATCACTTGCCAAGAATAATTTGGAATTCCTTAATTTTCTAATTGTCATGAGCTTTCTAAAAATCAATTTATTTTAATGAGGACAAGCAATTAATATTGACAAAATCTGAGGTCTCTGTGGAAAAACAGTAGAGAACCAGCAGCAAAAGTAATTTTGTCTCATCAATTGACACTAAATATGTAAGGACTTTTCAGTGACATTGATAAATATGACATGGTTTTCTCAGTAAAAAGGTTTTTGTAATTTGATAATAAAATACAGCATTAGATAGCATAACAAAATATGTTTAGTTTCTATATTTAACCTAATAGGAAATTTGTCCTGGGCCTGATGATAAACTACATCCAGCAGCAAGACCTCTGATTGGGAAATTGGAAGTATTAAGGCACATGGAACCACCTTGTAATTGCTGTTGTTCCCAGGTCTACCTTCATTTGGGGTGGTAGCACCTGTTAGGGTACCAGCTATGGGCAAATAGTGAAATTTCAAACAAAAATCAAAACACTAAAAAAAAATTATATATATATATATATATATATATATATATATATAAGGATCTGCAATGTTAAGAAGAAGAAAAAAAAAAAAAAGACAAAAAAACATTTAAACTGCTTAAACTGTTTTGTCTTAAAGCTGAAGAAAAACTGAAGCAGATACTTAAATAAACTTATAAGAAAGTAAATAAAATGGTGTCCACAAGTTGGTTTTAAGACAAGTCAAGTAATGCTGTAAGCGATTGTTATTTGGATATTGATTCAGAGAGAAAAATCTAAATTTAAAACTGAAAATTCAAGAGGCAGTGGAGGTTACAGTTATGGAGAAAATTAATTTCCATGTCAACATTTTCAATATAAAAAACTTATTTAGCAAGTATAGAAAAAGCAAGCAAGCAAAATGGATAAAAAAAAATGAAGTGGAGGAAAAGAGTGTAATGAAAATATTTTTTTAAAAAATGACATTTACTATTCAATTATTTTCTAACCTCAGCTGAAATCAATAAGATCCTGTCAGATTAGCAAAGGTTTCCATTTTAACTCAAAAATAGAATCCAGTGTTTTTGGCAAAATATGTGAGGCTTTAATCAATGCTGACATAGTTAAACATCTTACCTCTCATCACTCTGACAAACAATATGGCTTCCATTTTGACAGTACTACTGCTGATGTGCTAACAGACATCACTGAATATGTATATCAAGTTCTTGATAATAATGGCGAAGGTATCTGTCTATATTTCTGAAATGAGGTATTATGTACACTATTTACAATATTCAGACTATTGTCCTCATCTTTGCGGCCAAGGACACATGGCACAGTGGATAAAGGCGTTGGTTAGATTCAGTGACAGGACCCAAAGAGTGGGAGGTCAATACCCGGTTAAGGCAGTGGAGAACTTGGAGAGGAGAGTTAACAGGAGATAACTGACATCCATTAAACATGGCATGTGGATCTAGAACAGTCTATCCCAGTGAGCGAAATAAAGGGTTCAGTTCAACATTTCAACCACCTGAAGAAGACTGGAGCGTACAACAGCCGAAACGTAATAAATATGGCTAGAAAGATGAGGACAATAGTCCAAATAATGTAAATAATGGCGAAGGTGTTTGACAAGGTTTGGTATTAAGCACCAGGGCTACAGCATTACTGGGTATGTGTTTAATTTAATCCACTCATTCCTGTCATATTGTGAAATGAAGGATTTTTTGAATGGGTTCACTTCCAGATCTTTTCACATGAACGCAGGTGGTCCCCAAGACTTTATTCTGGGTCCTACGCTATTTCTGATCTTCATTAATGAACTCCCTGATGTTATCAGTAGGCATTTATGCTGATGACACTACCATTTACTCTTGTCTCAATAGCAAATCTGACAGAGTTGACAAATTCAATCTGGCCATTGCTCTTGAAAAGGACATCCAATCAGTGGTTAACTGGGGCAAGAAATGGCTTGTAAATTTTAATGCCTCCAAAACTGCTCTCATTTAACCACCATAGAGAATCTTTCCTGTCTACCATCAGCATGGCTGAAGCTAGACTCATGGAGAGGAACACACTGCGTGTTCTTGGTCTCATGTTCTTAACTGACTTGAAGCAGAACGCCTATAATCGAATCAGCAGCTGCCTCTACAACAAGGCATGTTGGGTCACTGTGTCGTACCAGAAGGTTTTTCTTGTCAGAGTCCATCTTGCACATTTGCAAATCTACCATTTGTCCATGCATTGAATACTGTTGCCATATCTCGTCTGGTGCTCCAGCTACTCATCTCGCGGTTCTTGACAAAATTACAAAGACAAACTTATTCTAACTGCAATAAAATCTGCATTTTAGAAAAGATCAATAGTACTTGGGTTAAAAAAAAAACAAAAAAAAAAAACAAAAAAAAAACAACAACATTGCCTTTCTTAATGAATTACAGCTTATCAAAGAAACTGATCAGAAAACTGGAATGGATCAGTATAAGAATAAGCAGATACAATATGTCTATATTATTCAATGATATATGTTTGAAAGAAGATATTCTGCCTAAATATATGCACACATGCATATAAATAAATAATTGGGAAAATTTGTTTGCTATAGATAGCCAAATCATGCATGCTTAATGGTTACAGGAAAGGTTTTTATATATATATATATATATATATATATATATATATATATATATATATATTTTAGGTAATGAGGTGTCCATTTTCTTTTGTTACATGCATTTATCTTTAAGAGCAATAATAAACATTTGCAAAGTTTCCAGGGAAAGAAAAATATTTGTGTGCCTTGAAAAAGTAATTTCCCAGAAGAATATCTCTTCCAAAATATAGTTTGTACTCTTCATGGTATTTCTTTACTGAAAACATAGCAGGAAATATTAAAATCTACTTTCATTTTCTGTTGATACTAATATTGCTCTGAATGAAAATGAAACTTGACTCTCCCATAACATTCATGAACAGAAAAAAAAAAAGGTAAAAATAGTAATTTTTCAATTTTATATTTCCTTCATTTCATGAAGCAATCCAGCTTAGCATCAGGACATCAGTACCATTATAATTAGTTATTGACTCTTACCCACTGTAGATGAGTACTTCAGTTAGTTTTAAATAATAATAAAAAAATTTTAAGTGTTAAGCAAGAAGAATTCTTGCGATAAAATTCTAAAATTCAAAGCTAGAAAAATCAAGACTTTAATATTTGAGGGGAAGAATGCTGTTGCTGATAATGATGTCTATTTCCTACTGTAAATAAGCTTAAATGATTAAAGAGTTGAATAGTAACGCAGATAACAAAAATGAATACTATATTACTGCTATTCAATATATATTATCTCAATAGCATTCATGAAGTAACAGTACTTTGCAATGAATAACATCTTAGGCACTGCATGATGCTGTTTTTATTCCACTATATTTACCATATTAAAGCATAACTAATGACAGTTTCAATATGATCAATCTTCCATTTATGGTAATGAATGCTGGTTAATTTCTTCACAGATGCGGTAAAGACTTGAAGCAAGAGACACTTCTACAGAATCATGGACTGAACATGTGAGCAACAAGGAAGTTTTAAAGAAAATGGAAACAAAAAAGTCATCTTTCCTTAGAATCAGAAAAAAGGTTGAAATTTCTGAGACACAAAACAAAGAAAGAGCGTTTTGGAAAATTTGACATCCACTGAATATATTAAAAGGTAAAAAGTTTAGAGAATATTGAGTACTACCTGATGAGCGTGTGCAAATGGCTGGCAGAATATTGGGATTGGAATGGATAGTAAAACACTGCTTATTGTTATAAATGGAGAAGTTGTGGAGAGCCATGATTGCTCACATCCTGAAGGGATACAGTATAAAAAAAAAATAGATGATTTTAAAATGTAGAGTTACAGTTTACACAACTACCAACATTTCTGCTGTTTTTTGGGGTTTTTTTTAAAATATCCTTATTAGACTGGAGCAGCATAGTTGCAATAAGCTAAGATTTAAAAAATCCTATTAGTTTTCGTTATGGCAACATGACTTCACATTCAAATAATAATCAAATGAATCCTGTTTTGGATAATACGGAACAGTTTGTGACATGCAAAGAATTGTAGATGGCCAGAGAATTGTCTCTCGAGGTCGCTGACTATTCTTTCATGTGCTTCCATCTTTTGCTACTAAACTGTCAGCTATCTTTTTTTCTATATCGCACTCCTCCTTCCCAAGACTGCAATATATTTGATGCAATAGCCGACAGTATAGAAAAGGCACATTCCCTCCATCTGTCTGTGAACATCTTCGGTGACTTTAATGTTCACCATGACATGTGGCTTCTAAAAGGTACTGATGTTGCCAATATACAGACTTTAAATTTTTCTACTGCCCAATCACTTACTCAAATCATGGACTTCACTACTGGTTTCCCTAGCCAAGCAGAGAAACAGATTTTTCTACTGGATCTATTTCTTACCTCCTCTCCTTTGCAATACTACTCCCTAGGTAACTCAGACCACTCGGTGGGAGTTATTGATATCTCCTTCCCTATCCATAAGACCTCTTTCTGTTACCAGCATGCTGATTGGGACTCATTCCGGGATTTTCTTCGTCACGCTCCTTGGACAGATATTTTTAACTTCCCAATTGAAAACTGCACCACTGAGGTTTCTTCTTGGATCAAAGCCGGCATGGACACTTTCATCCCTTCTCGGAAATACCAGGTGAAACCTCAATCCTCTTCATGGTTCACCCAAGCATGCTTGGCCACCATAGCACACAGGAACCACTATTTCCGGCGATACCAACATGACAGC